GAGGCGGGTCCCATTTCTAAGGTTCTAAGATAGTCGAAGGGAGATCCCTAAGGCTAGATCCTAAACCCTAAGCGGAAGACTAGACCTCACTAAAAATGAGGTCAACAGATGGTCGAGGGTAATTTTTCCTAGGTCTCGTCATCAATCTCTGCAAGCCTCTGTTGAAGTCGAAAAAACTCTCACTGTATCTCTTTTTGGGTTGGTGCCAACATGTTTCTTTTTGGTGGCATTGTTAGGGTTTGGTTATTTGGGAGTGGAAGAGGTTATTTGAGGATAAGAAAGAAAATTTTTGGGGTGGGTTGTGTTGGAAGGATAGAAACCCTAGATGGGGTGAGAAGCTAATTTTGTTACGCAAAACATCAAGATTACAATCAAGACATTGGAACAGAAAGAGAAAACAAAATAACACAAATATCCCGATAGGGTAAGGCAGGACAATCGATAGAATAGTGGTGGGGTGGCTTAGGAAAGGTGATGACTGGTTGGAGTGGTGCAGGGAGAGTGGCGACATTAGTGGACAATGCAGGGAGGTGGCGGCTGTGAGTAGGAGCGGTATAGGAAGGGTGGCGATAGTAAAGAAAGTGTAGGAGGGGCAACGACGACAATAAAACAATGCAGGAAGGAGCAGAACAACAAGGGGGATGCATAGGAAGAGTGACAAAAAGCAGGCAAGTGAAACTGTAAGTGACTATATGAAGATAATCACCACCTCGATGCATAATACAACCGGAGCGCCATTTGTGCTAGGATACAGCTCTAGCAAGGGAAAAGACACTAATGACAACCAAAGTCTCGAGCAAAAATTGCATTCTTTTAAAAGAAAATAACATATTTATAATAGTAGATAAATAAGAGGGAGAGAGACCCCTCCCCTTGGGCGGTAACTCTAGCCTAAGCAAAGGGTCGGTTGATCTCTACACAGCCTAGCTGAAACGGTTCATCCTTTCCCTGCCTATTTAGTCCAGATGAGCCTCGTCACCTAGGTAGATTGAAGGCCAAAGAATCTTGAAACTTCTCTAGTGAGGGGCACGATGTCTTAGATATTGTCTCTTCCATGACATTGTTTTCTAGCTTCACCAAGGTCAATATCATGAGTACCTTTCACAACCTGTAGAAATATGGTGCGAGGCACTAAAGTTGATGCTCTGTTGTAATACCATTCACGAATGACTTCTTCAACATTATCAGTACAATATCTTCCCATCCTTTATAAATGAGTGGTTGTTTTTGCGACCATATGATGTGCGACCTTGTTATATTGCCACAGTCGACCCAAAAGAAGGTGACACACATCCATAGGCATGCCATCACACCAAAACTGAGTGGTGCAGGGAGAGTGGCGGCATTAGTGGAACAGTGCATGGAAGTGGCGGCTGTGAGTGGGAGGGGTGTAGGAAGGTTGGCGATAGTAAGGAAAGTGTAAGAGGGGTAACGACAACAATAAAACAGTGCAGGGAGGAGCAACAACAACAAGGGGGATGCATAGGAAGAGTGACAAAAAGCAGGCAAGTGAAACTGTAAGCCTTGGTGCATAATACAACCTGAGCGCCATTTGCCTTAGGATACAACTCTAGCAAGGGAAAAAATTCTAATGAAAATCAAAAACTCGAGCAAAAATTGAATCATAATAAAATAAAATAACATATTTATAATAGTAGATAAATAGGAGGGAGGGAGACCCCTCCCCTTGGGTGTTAACTCTTAACCTAAGCAAAGGTTGGTTCATCCTTGCACAGCCTAGCTGAACCGGTTCATTCTTTTCCAGCCGATTCAGCCCATAGGCCAAAGAATCTCGAAACTTCTCTAGCGAGGGGCACACTGTCTTAGATATCGTCTCTTCCATGACATTGTTTTCTACCTTCACCAAGGTCAATATCATGGGTGCCTTTCATAGCCTGTAGAAATATGGTGAAAGGCACTAAAGTTGTTGTTCTGTTGTAATACCGTTCACGACTTACTTCTTCAACGATATCAATACAATATCTTCCCATCCTTTATAAATGAGTGGTCATTTTTGTGATCATATGATGTGCACCCTTGTTATATTGCCACAGCCGACCCAAAAGAAGGTGACACACATCCAAAAGCATGACATCATACCAAACCTAATCTTGCAACTTGTCTCATATAAAGAATTCCACGAGATATCTCCTGTCAACTATGATCTTATTTCCTTTTTTCAACAACGACGGAGGATATGGCTGATGATACTTCTGGTAGCAAGGCTCAATTTATCAACTATATGTGTAGATGCTACATTTTCTTATCTGCCTCCGTCTGAGGTTGCACACCTTTCTCTTCATGGCACAACAATATGAAATATGTTGTGGCGGAGCTTCTGTTGCTCTCTCGTGGGCTCAGTCTGAAGGACCCATCAAATTACTAGTATCTCTCCATCATCTACTAGCAACTGGTACTCCTCTCCATTTTCTTCCTCTAGGTTTTCTCTCTCTGCCTCCTCCACTGCAGCCATTTTGTTTGGACAATTATACGCAATGTGCCCAAATCCATAACACTTGAAGCATTGCATTGCTGGGATGGATTTAGGAGTATTGACAATCTCCACCTTTTCTTTACTCCGTACGGTTTTCTTCTATGGTGGGGTCAGTTTGGGTGCTCCATGGGTTGTACACTGTTGCTCGATCCTGTGAGTGAACTCTATCTATGAAGTGTGGGTCATCTGGTGACATTGTTTCTCTACCTTTAATGCTAGGGTCTTTATATTAAGTAGGACCAAAACGAGTACAACTGTACCACATTACTAATCAAAGATCTAAATCCTCCAAGTTATCTCACTATTGTGTGCTCTTCTAGCTCTACCAACTCACATTTCAGTACGAGTTGTTCGAATTCAGCTGTGTACTCCACAGAAGAATCTCTCGGGCATAGGTTGTAGAGTTTAATTAACATATCCTTTTTGTAGTATGGAGGGAAGTATTTGCGTTGCATCTCTCTTTTCAATTTAGACCAAGTTATAATTTTACATTTTTTTTTCTGCTGTTGAATATGTTTCAGGCTTTCCCACCACAATGAAGCATTTTTTATGAGTTTGATGACTGTCAATTTAACTCTCTTGTCTTGAGGAACATCCTTGTACTAAGAAATTCGTTCTACTATTTGAAGCCACTTGATAAACTCGCTTGGATTCATGTGTCTCGCAAAATTTGGTAAATCCACATTTACTCGATGTTCTTGGGTTTTTCTCTGAAAGCCTATGGCAAGTCATCGAAGTAGCAGTTCTTTCCCACTAGAAATTACATGGTGGAAGTCATTCACTTTCTCCTCTCGATCTGATGAGTTGCCGTAGTGGCTACGGGTGACCTCGTTGGATTGTCTCATTTCAAAGGTGTCAAGTCTCTATGCATTTGGATGATTTTCCGCCGCATATTCTCTATAGTAAACTCCTAGACACCTTTTTGTAGCTTTCTCCTAGACGACATTGTGTTCTTTTCTCTCGATCAATATTTCGACAGGTGTAGGGTTGTAAATAAGATGTTGGTCGAAGTTTAGGGTTTGGTTGTAGGTGTTGGGTTGGATGTTTGGTGAAGGTAGAAAAGTTAGATTTTGAAAATTTAGGGTTGGGGCTAGGAATTACGATATGAATGATTTAGATTAAATGAAACATTTTTTTTGGGGGAATTTTGGATTTGGGCAAAAAAGATCTCTAAACATCTAGGATATGTCGGGCTTTCATATTATATAATATTTTTATAGGAAAGGTATTTGGGAAACAAATTTCACAGGGAGATGGCTGCGGGATAGAGAGGAAATAAAATATGGGTTTTTGATGGCGTTTGGAGGGCGAGAGTTGAGATATAACATGCTGTTAGACAGCAATTGGAGGAGTTCAACAGTGGTTTTCGGGATTAAAAACCACGGTTGAACGTCGAAATAGCAAAGTGCGTATGTCGAGGTGATCCACTTTTCGTTTCTGGATAAGCTACAAATACACCACTTACAATAGGAAGATGATACAACATTTTGAATAGCACAAATCAGAGAAAATTTCTCTCAATTTCATAAAACAGCTCAAGACACATATATTAAAGTCTCCTAATAAAAATACCTAATTAGAAAATTGGAAATAGAAAGGACAAGAATGGAATAAAACAGAACTGAAAAGCTGCTGAACATAATAAATATATAAAAACGACACCCAGCCCTGTTGTTTTCATGATTGCGGAAGCCGTGGATTGCAACTCGCGGCACCGCGAGAAATTTCCGTGTCACGCGTCATGGACGATTGCAAATAAATTATCATTATATCATTTATTTCATATTTCGTTGGGCCCCTCTGCTTCCTCTTCAAAGGCAGAAATAAAGAATGGTCTTAAACTAGGTGTTTTTCCTGTCATCTAAGATTAATAGTCTTTTATGTAGGTGTTTTTCTTGCTGTTGGTAGTCATTTTTGTGTCAGTATTTATTATTATTTTTTTTCCCAATATTAAGGAAGTTCTTGTTTAAAGGAATCCAAAACTTTTTAGTTAATCATTCGTTAATGTATTCTATATCCTTTATGAATTCCTGGAAAATAAAAAGCAAATTAATTTTACATTTACTTGCACTTTTTTTTTTGGGGTACTTTTCTGTCATAAAGTTTACATCCAGTTCATGTTACTTAATAACCTATTTTTTGTGCTTGAAACAGGCAAGTTTTAGGCTTGCGTGGGGAAGCAATGGTGACAAAAGCGGTCAGCATAAGCACGAGGTTGTCTCTTTTGAGAAAGGAAATATAACAACTGCAGGTCGCAGCAGTAAGCAGGTAGGTTAATTTTTTTGCTTTTCCATCTTTCTTCTCGTTACAAATGTAACAAAGCCTTAAGTTTCACTCTAAACTATTTAAACTAGTGTTAATCATTTTTTATCTTTGTCACAAAGATGTCATGCTGCATTACTAGTCTAACCATGATCCTGTATCTTCAGATTCTACTAAAGTGGGAATCCCAGCCACAAACAGTGCTTATTTTGGCTAAACCAAATTCCAGCTCTGTTCGTTCTTTATGTGCTGAAATGGTCAGGTGTGCTTGCCAAAATATACTATGAGATTGTTATTAATCTTCCACGGTTGCTAAAAGGATCTGAAAAATGAATTATATGAACTTATCTTAGAATGCAATGTTTTTCAGTATTAAGTGGCAAATAATTTTGCTATGATATGTTTCAGTTATTATTAGTTCTTTGAGTCAAGTTTTCCATACCATTAACTTAGGAGCCAATTTGTTTGTAATTATTCCTAGTGTGCTGCATTTAGAATGCAAGACTTAAAAAATTAGTGTTTGTCGCAAGTGTTGCAAATGCTTTTCTTTGGAACCATTGTACACCAAAATGTCATTAAAATACACAACAATAACTTTTTCAATTGAAAGCTTTAAAAAAGCTAGTTCATGAATTATAAAGGTGCTTGGGGCATTGGATGGGCTAAAAGACTTAATCATTTGCTTATACAGTCCATCCCGTAGCTTGAAGATAGTCTTCCATTCATTCTCGAGCCTAATATAAATTTCATGTTAACTACTATGCTAATCAATTTTGAAAATGATGTTAGCCCAATTCAATTGATCCAACAAGACATTCAAGCACAGAATGGGGAGCCAATACATAATGGAGATTTTGTTATTGCCCTGCCGTTAATGCACATACTCAGATTTTGTCCTTTTTGAGCATAATCAAAGCTAGTATGACACTGACTTGTATTCTTATGAACTAGTCCTCAGGCTATCAATTCCTCCACCTGCTGCTGCATCTCCTCATACTGTGCTAGTTGCATCTGATAGGGTGGCCGGTTGGGGAGCACTGATCCTAGGTTGAGATTTATGGCATGTTGAAGCTCACATAGAGGTGGCAGGCCATCCGTCAGAACATTCCAAAAGTCCTCTTATAACTACACCGCCTTAGGTATCAGCTCCTCTATCTTGTTGCCCTCCAACATCACCAAATCTAGTCCAATTGGTGCCTCTCATAGTTTGTAGAAATTTTGTGCGTGAAACTCTAGCTCTGAGCTCTATTTGAATACCTATAAGTGTTGATTCCTTCAATGGTAAGTGTACGATGTGTTTTTTGTCTTTGATGAATGATTATGTATTATTTAACCATCATGAATCATACCCTTTTTATTGTCATGGTCAGCTTAATAAAACATGACATACATTTATAGGTACGACATCACACCATACTTACTTTTGTAGCTTGTTTCTAACGGAAAACTCTACAAGGCACTGTTTGCTAACACTGATAGCAATTTTTTTCTTCAACTAAATTAGAGAATATTGATGAGAATGCTTCTAGATAATGAGACTCAGTTTTCCCACCATCTGGTTATACACTACTTTCTCACAATTACATCTATCTATAATGAAGTTGCACACTTTTACCTTGATAACACAATTGCTGCGAAAGATGTTATGTTTATCTTTCAAAAAAAAGAAAGAAAGATGTTATGTTTAAGCCACAATTGCTCTCGTAGGCTAGGTTTCGAGAACTTGCGAAACTACCAACATCTCACATTCATCTGTTAAAAGCTGATAATCGTCTCTAGAGTCTCTACTCCGCTACTTACATTACTCTCTACTCTCTAAAAGAAGTCAATCTTCTATTTAGATAGTTAGATGTAATGTGCCCATAGCTATGACAATTGAAACACTTCTTGGTTGAAAAATTTTGGGGGTACTGGCCCGATTAGTCTTTGTTCTTTCCAATGTCGACTCTTCTCCTCATGAGGAGCAAACCTTAGCACTCTCATCGGTGTGCTTATGCTCTGCAACCCCATGTTGAAGGGTTGAGTGGATTTGATAATGTTATATTGCTTGTCCGCTTTCAAGACTAAATTCTGGACATCCTGCAAAATTTAATAGAGTTGCAACTATTTTACATTGCTAATAGATGGTTTTATCCTTTAAGACATTGGCTATGGATTTCTCCTCTTGCTCCACAAAGCCACATTTCAACATGAGATGTTCAAATTCAACCTTATACTTTTTTATTGATAGGTCGTTCTGCTGTACATGGTGAAATCTTAAAAGTTTATTGTCTTTAGTGTACTTGGAGGTATTTGCATTGCTTCTTTTTTTTAATCGTGGATCAGTTTGTGAGCTTATTTTCCCTTTCATGTTGGTGCAAGTGCTTTAGGTTCTACCACCATAAGAAAAACACTTTTTTTCAACTTAAATGACGTCCAACTTTACCATCTTGGCAGGTGGAATTTTCTTGTAGTTAAATATCCGTTCATGTTTTGGAGCCACTCAATAAATTTATTCAGATCCATATGATTATCAAAATCTAGCAAGACAACCTTCACACTAAAGTCTCTCTCTCTCTATATATATATATTTATATATATTAAATTCCAAGTTGGCATGGCTTCAACACTTCATAGTTGGAGGCTTCTTAGTTAAAAAAGTTTTCTTCATCTTCTCTATCTGATTGGTCACCGTTGCTGCTATGGGTGCTACCTGGTGTTGTCTTATTGCAAAATCAACAATCCTCTATTGTAATTGGGAGATTTTTTTGGCATATCTTTCACGGTAGGGTCTTGAATATCCGTTTGAAGTTTTCTTATTGGAGACTTGATAAATCTCATGCACTTAGGGCTTTGGCTGAGGTGGATTTTGGATCTAAGCTTGGTCGAAAGTTTAGGTTTAGGTGGAGTATATGAGTATGGTTTGTCGGTTAGGGTTGGCATTTTGGAAAAAAACTTTCTAAGATTTTAAGGTACTCTTCCTTTATCGGGACGGGTAATTAACCATAGGGGCTTATGCCTTTATGAAATCTTGAACCCCATATCTTGAAATTCTCACAAAATGAGAGTAAAATTTTTTATTAGTGTCTTATTTATTCATCTACTTTGTATAATTTGACCCAAAACCTTAAAGTAAAATTTTCTCAATCATCCCGGGGGAAACAAGGGCTCGAAATTTTTAGAGCCCACACCCTCTCTGTGCAAAAAGAACTCATTCATGCAATACTCATGCGGGAGACATTGCCTGAAATATTGGTGGTGATGGAGAAGTCAGTTGCAAAAATTATACGAATTTTGAATCATTTGTTTGTTCATGTTGAATCTTGGAAAAATGATTTGGAGGCTGCTAATCCAAACATTTCCATTTATTTTATAACTTTATTTAAGCAGGACCATGAAGAAAGATATCCTACTTTATAGCAACGATAGCATGTTTAATATGAACTCAACCTATATTTTAAGAAAGGAAGAGAAAATACTACTGGAACCTACTCAATAAGTAGCATATTTAGCGAGAAAATCCAACGGTAAAAGAATTTGCGACTTAAGCTATTTCTTCATTTCAAGGTATTTGTGATTTGTGAATAATAATAGTGGTGATAGAAGGTGTATTAGTCACAAGTCTAACAATAGGGACATGCATGACTGCCTCAACAAAAGTCTTGGGCACAATTTCAAATTCAAGCTCATTAAGAGCTCAATTACTAATCTTTATTTATCATCAACAACATCATCATCATCTATTAAACCTATATCATAATAACAGTGATCCTCAAATGGCAGACTAATATAAAAAAAAATCTACTATATTTTTTTATAGGCTTTTGTGCAGATGGAGATAACATAAACTCCTAAATTTTTTAAATTTAACATGTGGTTTGTGATAGGTGTTCTTAACTTTATAGGTTTTAGAAATTGATGTTTTATGGAATTTGTTATAATGCAATTGTTTTTTTGATAGTTATGGATAGAAAATTTTTGTATATAGTCATTATATGATCTATAGAAATGACAATGAAGCTTATTTGGATATCACTTTTTTCATTAAAAAAAAAAACTTAATCATGACAGGAATATCAGATAAGATAATATGACTATTTTGAAGATGATTTATGAAACTAGTGATTGTTGGAATGACTATCATAGCCAAGTTTGTGAGATCCAAACAAAAAAACCTTGAATAGTAGCGTGCAAAATAAGAAAATCACAGAAAATACTAGATTTAACATGGAAAATCCGAGAACCGGAAAAAAACCATGGAACAACACCGTACCAAAAAATCTACTATGAAGAGAGGAGAATCATACAAATTACACTACACTCAAGCCTCCCCAAATATTTGAACACCCAAGGACACTCCTCTCATCTCCTTCACACAAGAGAAAATTGAAATCACCCATCTTTCAATCAGTAAAACCAAAATTTTAGTGAAAACTGCCCAAAAATGGTTAGTGGCGTTGGGGAGCCACGACACTCTAAAGGGGCGTTTTAGTGTCTTGTTCTCGAGTTATAAACCTGGACTAGGCACGATGGCTTTGTCTTTCGAGCACTGGAGTGCTGTTGACTCGGTGTTGGGGCGCTGCAGATAAGGCGCTGAAATGTTATATACTGGTAAAAAGTTTTTTTTTTTTTTTTTTTTTTGGGCAGCGCCCCCTCAAACTAACCGTCAAGCTTGATTGGCGAAATTGAGGGTTTTGAGTGAACAATTGATTAACACAACCTGACTACTCATAATAAAAATAACTATTTATAATTATCATATCAGATGAGGCTAGAATTATGAGCACATACATAATCATTAGTAGACTTCAATCACACGCATGCTAATTGTTTTATTCTGAGAGTGATTTTAAGTGTATTTTATAATCCAGATAACAATTATCCTTTTTATATTCTTATTTCACTATTCATTATATGACTTGTTTCTTAAATTGTTTCAAGGTGATTTAAAGAATGCATAATGATTAAGGCTATTGTTTTGATATAATTATCTTTAAGAACCTAATTTTCATACCAAATTGTTGATGGACTGTAGATGATTTTCTTGCTCGATATTCCTCCTCTTCCCTTGGATTGAATGCTCTTAATTTGAGCTTCATCTCGTAATTGAGAGAGATTGAATTAAAGTTATAGAGAGAAAAAGATAATATAGAATTAAGTAAGAATTTTTCCATAAGTGAGACTCTAAAAGTGCCCAATCTTGGGATTTATGAATTGAGGATTTGGCGAGGAGAGAAAGATGGAGCAGGGGAGAGAGAGGAGATAGACGAGTGAAAACAAGAAGAAAAAGTGGATTTGCTTTAAATTTCAGTATTGAATAGACAATTCATTACTATGCATTCATACTTCTATTTATAGAAATAGAATTGTATGATGAATTCAAACTAAGTCATGTTTAAGACAAGATAAATCCAACTAATAGAAAATTTCTAAAGAGAAGGGTACTTGTTAAAAGTTCTTTCTAATACATAAAAAAGTGCTGGAAATAATCTAAATTTGCTTTAGTTATTCAAATGTGTTCTTACTGTATTTCTTGCGCCATATAACATTGAGATTTTGTAACCATTCCGTTTTTGTGAAATATGGAACACAAATCAAAGTTCTTTCCTATTTTTCCAAGTCTTTTATTTTATTGTTTGGTCCTTTATTAAATTTCTTCTAAAGTTGGAAAGGAATGCGTGGAAGAGAAAAGTATAATGTATTCAATCTAAACTATAACTTAATATTTTTCTTATACATTGCCCTGGATGCAAGTGAAACAAATATACTGAACTACATAATTTTGTTTTTTATGTTGAATTTTCGGCAGTATCTTTTCTATCTTCATTATTCTGCTCGTTTTCTTCACTATAATGTGTTTTGGAAAATAATAAACATGGAATAGCTTTGAATACTCTATTTTTTTTCTTGGTATTTCTCTCTCCTGGCTTTGTTGTTTTGGAAAGCAAAGCTACCAAATTTTAATCGGCATAAAGTGTAAGCAAAATATGCTGAATCAGCTTGCGTGATACCAAAATTAACTGTGACATGCAGCTGATCTAATTTAAAATTGTATCTTAGCATCTGTACCCGAATGTCATTCTATTCCGAGCTTTTCCTGCTAAGTTTTTTTTTTTAATTTTTTTATTATTATTTTAATAAGTTTATCTTGTTTTGTGAAAAAAATGTTTCTATTATTTTACTTGTTCAGGAAGAAAGAAAATTTACAAAGAAACCTCATTATGTGTGCGTGACCTTTTAAAACAAATCTCAAATAATTGTTGTTTTGGTTTCTTTTATCTGTCATGCCTTAAATTATTTGAATTTTACTGGAACGAAGCAGTTGTACTTCCATTCAAGTTGGAGAGTTACTAGAATCCTAAATTAACTAGTTGTCCCAAAGTTCGTTTCCGGAATCCTAAATTAACAAGATGTCCTAAAATATTGTGGATTTGGGTTTCTCTTATTTGACCATGAGCTTAAATTTTTCCACACTTTTGGAACCAAGTACTGATTCTTTCTCCCGAATGGGAGAGGTTCTGGGATCCTAAATCAACAAGGTGCTCTTGAGTGATTATAATTATAGAATCTGTTAGACTGCATATTCTCTCCAAGCATTTTTAAATCTATGTTGCTGGAGCCGTTATTTTTAAAATTTTGTTTTCATTACCACTGTGCTCTTCTCGATCTGTTTGGTATTTTAATCTAATTTTTTGTACTCTTACAGATGGCTGAAAGATGAAAAGAAAATAAATGTTTTTGTTGAGCCTCGAGTGAGAGTTGAGCTTCTAACTGCTTCTTCTAACTTCAGCTTTGTTCAAACATGGAAAGATGGTAAAACTCTTCGCGCCATCTATGTTTTGCAGTAGTTTTTCCATTAATTAGGTTGTCTGATACGCTTTAACAATGACCATGTTATTTATATTAATCCTTTTAAGTATTCTTTTATGTAGAAAATTTGATAGTTACTGTCTAATCTTTTGCATCATTTATACCTTACACAATGACACGGGGGTTTTCCTCCAAAAGTTGAACTGGTTTGGCCCGAACCAGTTTAGTTGAGAGGGGGTTGAACCGGCCCCCTCCCCCTCTTTTCATTAGGCGGGAATTTTTCCCCTTCATATTTTTATTTCCCACCCACTCGTCTTCGATTTATATGCGTTTTTTTGTCTTAGGGTTTAGCTTAGGTTATTTTTTTATTTTAGTTTGTGAGGACAGCCGCCGATATTCTGTTTTTCCTCAAGGACTGTATCCGATGGATAGGGGTGCTTCGGTTGTATCACTTTCCCCTGAGAATCTGTGATGATTACCCTCTCCGACTTCCACCTCCAGCCTCCCTCCTTACCGCCAACTGCTGCTGTCCAGCAGTCCAGCCAACCAGCTATATCTCCCACGTCTTCTAGATCTTGCTGTTCTGCATTGCAGCCTCCCTCCCGCACTTCCAAGCCAGCCCCAGCCCTGCTGCCACCCCTGAAGACCCTTCCAAGCCGCATGCTTTCGCGCAAGCCCCAGCTTCCAACCCGCCAATCACCCTTGCACCACCTGCTGTGCCATATTCTCGTTGATCCCTCTCCACCCGACAGTCATCCCGTAACCCTCTCCCCACTACCTGCTAATCCCGTATTCTATCTGCAGCAGAAATCTACATGCCAGTAACTCCTCCACTCCCCCCTCCTACGTAGCCACTGCCACCCTTCTTCCCCTTCAAAATTCCTGTAGCTGCAGGGGTTCCAAACAGACATCCAAGTCTCCCAGCTGCTACCAGCCTGCTCTCGACCTTCAACCTACTCGACCCCAATCTCTCCAGTCACCAGCCCGCTGCCCCTTTTATCCTACAGCCTTTCAAAATCTCTACTCTCCTTGACTGCAGCACCACCACGCCGATCTTCGCCCTCGTTTGTGTCTTTTTATCGTTTCTTTCCTATTGTGATGAGTCTTTATTGTAAATGTTGAATGTCAGCAATAATATGTCTATGTTCTATAGTGGATTGGGTTTTGTCTGCTATCATTTGATATCAAAGCCAGTCCAACCCTAGTCCAATTCTAGAGTTTCCTAGCATTTGTCCTTACCCAAGCCACCCCCACAAAAAAATTACTTTTTCCTATTCCCAATCTTAGCCAAAACTTTGACCTAACCCTCGATTCCTCTTGCTGATTTTCAAAATCAGCAACGCTAAATTAAATTTTTAACCCTCGCTCACCTCCCAATTCTAAACCCTAGCCATACCATCATTGAGATACATGTTCAAGCCTTCCCAGGAGGAGACACAGCGAGAGATCCGCTGAATTAAGCAATGGATTATAGACATGGAAAATAAAATCCAATGAGAGGCTACCATAGACCGTTACCATCCAGTGAAACCAATCCTCAAGTCTGTCTCAGCCAGAAAATGTTGCAAGTGCCGCGAATTTGGACATGTTGAAGCAGAATGCACAAGTCATCGAAAAGTTAGGTAAAGACACCGCAAGCACTGAAGATGGTGAGGACATAAACGAAGAGAACCCGCTTCCAATTGAGGAGGACAAGATACACTTAGTCCTAGCTGAGCTCGTGTAAGAGACTCCAACCGACTACATTGTAAGTGGCCAATGCAGTTACGAGTATGAGGAGCCGACATCAGACACGCGGCCCCCACAGACAAGAAGAAGGCAGATATTTCAGATCTATAGATCTCCTCTTGACTTTCCCCTACTTAAGGAGGTCCAACATGTCCAAAGAGGAGTTATTATGTTTCATTCCTGGACTATTACAGTAAGTAGTTCAGATGTTATAGTTAGTTAAGCAGGCCCATCATCAAATTTCTAGACGGGTGGGTTGAACCTCCTCTGAAATGTGCCTTAGGAGCCTATGAGGGATGAAAATTCTTCAATGGGATCCAAGTCCTGTCACTGAAGAAGATATCTCTCATGAGTGGTCGCTAGTGAGAGTGGCACAACCTGCAATAGATTTCATTTTTTGGATTAAGTTCTCCACACATACTTTTTACTCTACCACCGCACGTTGGGCACAAGAAGTGGAAGGAGAAGATTTCAAATGTAAGGACTTGAAAGTTGCATTGCGGGAACCCACTTTTATATGCAGCTCCCGCTCAGGATGTACCAAAAGAGGATGACTATCTATTTTACCAAAGTGAAGATGAATGAAAACATCGACATGATCGACCTACCAGGGGATTTAACGCCATACCATGAGGATCTAGGAGCTTCGACGAATGAGGTCGAAGCTCCCCTACTGGAGAATGACACCGCGCTTTTCCTCCAAAAGCTAAACCGGTTTGGTTGAGAGAGGGGGCTAAACCAGCCCTATCTCCCCCTCTTTTCCTTAGGCGGGCCCCCCCCCCCCCCCTTCTTTTTTCATTTTCCACCCATCCATCTTCTATTTATATGTGTTTTTATGTCTTGGGGTTTAGCTTAGGTTATTTTTTATTTATGTTTGTGAGGACGGCCACCGACATCCTGTTTCCCTTTGAGGGTTGTATCTGACAGATAGAGTGGTGCTCTGATTGTAACCTTTTTTCCAGATTGTGATTAACCTCTCCGACTTCCACCTCCACCCTCCCTCATTGCCGTCAACCGCTGTTGTCCAGCAATCCAGCCGACCACCTCCATCTCCCATGTCTTCCAGATCTTGCTGCTCTGCATTCCACCCTCCTTCTGCACTTCCAAGTCCGCCCCAGCCCTGTTGCCACTTCTGAAGACCCTTCCCAGCCGCAGGTTTCCCGCAAGCCACAGCTTCCAGCAGCCAATCACCCTTGGACCACCTGCTGTGCCATATTCTCGTTAATCCCTCTCCAGCTGGCAGCCATCCCCCTCTCCCCACTATCCGCCAATCCCGTATCCCATCTACAGCAGGA